GAGAAACGGGTGAGAAACGGGCCAAAAACGCGTCACGCGGCGTAAAACGGAAGAATTTGTTTGACACGGCATGGCAAGTTGTAGGCCAGTCCTGTTCAGCCTTCCATGCCTCCGATATCTCGGTTTCGCGATTACTTATACCAACCCAGGTAACCGGCTGCGCCGGATGTTAGGTTCTCGGACGTTTCATTAAGACGAAGCTTTCGCGTCGATTTCCCGCTTTATTTCCCCCGTGATTTCTCGCCGGAGCACGCCAAGGATCGCTGCTCGGGAGCGTCGGCTCCCTCGCATCCCGAAGTTTAAACGTTATTGCAGTTGGAGAACGAGAAACGGACCGTTGTTCCCATCGAACTTGCGACTCGGGGCTGGGGCAGGGCTTAATAGAAGGGACAAGGCAATCATAAACTCGCGGAAACTTTGTATTTCAAAGGTGTCAACAAAGATAGAACTGAGGCTAGCAAGAAACAATTTGTAGCAAAGTCGTTTTAGCGTTGGAACGAGGGACGGGAGTACCTATCTACTGAACGTCGATGTACAACTTAGCCAAGGCGTCTCGCTTGATCTCCCGGCAATCGCCGTTTCCAACTCCGGCGTCGTTCCTTCTACGCGTGATCCTCCGTCGTCGTTTGCTCGGTGGTCTTCTCCGCTTCCGGTTCCTTCTTGATCTTCAGAATGTCCTCCACTTGCGGCGTCACCACCACCGTCTCGCTCTCCTCCGGGAACACGTACTCCTCGTGATTCTGCGACGCGTCGAAGTAATGGCCCAGGCCTTTGTAGTGTCCGTGCTGCTCGAAGGCGGAGTGCTGGTGGGCCTCCTCGTGCTTGTGATTGCTGTCGTGGTGATGATTATGGTGATGGTCGTCGAAGTGTTTGTGATGTTCCTCGTGGGAGTGGCCGTGCTTGTGCTCGTGAGACGCGTGGTGTTTGTGATGCTCATCGTGATGGTGTCCTTCGTGGTGGTCGTGGTGATGCTTGTGATCGTGGCCATGCTTGTGTTCTTCTTTATGCTCGTGGCCGTGCTTGTGCTCCTCGTGATGGTGATGCTTGTGGTCCTGGTGATGGTGATGATGATGGTCCTCGTGGTGGCCGTGGTGATGCTCCTCCTTGTGGCCGTGCTTGTGCTCGTGGCCGTGTTTGTGATGATGATCCTCGTGATGGCTGTGCTTGTGGTCC